CCTCACCTGGCCAACTAGAAAGGGCGAATCTCGGTAAAATACAAAAGGCAACCTATGGTATCTCTAGGCCCGACCTTTAAGCCTTGTATAGCACAGCACTACCTAAGCAGTATGGTAAAAACCCAGATGCTTAAATATCTGTGTCAGGACTCATTCCTTTCAAAAAGGAAAATATACGGTCGCTAAACTGGAACCTGACTGAAAATAGGAATGACCTAGAAATGCTGTTTTTCTTTTTATTGCTTACCCTTAATTTTATTCTGTCATCCTATACACTGTTTACTCATAGGGAGCTGGCAGTATCTTGTACCTGGTTATAAGTCAGCATACTCTGTTTGAGCGTAAACCATACCATACCGCTTCATGAGTCTCAAAATGGCATGTACATACCACTCCTTTCCCTTTTCTTCATTAATAGCATATAGGACCTACTATACAGGGGGCAATGAGTTTATTAGATACTAAAACAAACGTGTTCTCTTCATGCCCTAACTCAAACAGATGCACTAGTTTAACCTCTCTATGTCCTTTAAACGAGATGCACCAACCTGACTTTTGCACTTAATTACCATAAAATTGTGCTGTCAATTGTATGCCACACTGATGTTTAACATTGTTACTGTTTGGCCTGTCACAGCTGTCATGGCTGTACAAGCGTATTGTTATGCCTTGCACAGAAAAATAAAGAATTTAAAAAAACTAAATTAAGATATATATTACAATGTTAAACAAAAATCTGCAAATCAGTTTAACAAAGAATCACATTTTTGCCCATTCCATTTTGAACATGGATTCCTTTGAGTCTGTATTTGCTGCATACAACAGCTTTGAATCACAACTGAGGCAAAATTTTGATTCTTTGTTAAACTAATTTGCAAATGCCCAACCAGAATCCTAGTAACATCACTGCAGATTTGTGATTTCTGTGGGAAAAGCAAGTCTTATGGCTTGACTGGTGTGTAGATTTGTGTTTAACATTGTATTAACTATCCACAGACTTCAGGTGGAAGGGGTTTTCAGTCACAATTTTTCCCCACCATAACCTTTTTGGCTTTTGCTTTATATATCTATATTGTGAGCTAAAATGTGGAATAGTGGTTGAAGGAAGATATATTAGGCCTGCTTTGCTGAACAGCAGCCAGAGATTTTTCAGTTAAATGTCCCAGGGAGAGATGTTAAGTTTGCTAAATACATTGCTGATACTCTGCAAAACATGGTATGGGTCCCTGGGGCGGAGCATTTGGAGAGCAGGGTGGGACAGTGCTCCAACAGTACTAGTTGTTCTGTAACAGACCAGAACTTGGATTTTACTTAAGAGTTCCAGAGACGTTAACTAATTGACACTCACCTGTAGCTGGTCAATTAGGAGAGGAGAGTAGATGAGACAATTGTTTATTGCAAATCTATTTTGATTTTGAAGTGAGAAAGCCACCCAATTACAGATAGTTATTTCTGTCTAGTAAGAGCAAGGAATTTTGTTTTGTTTCTTTTTTTTATTTAAAGCACCTGTTTCCTCATCAAATAAAAAAGGAAAACTGAACTGGATGTGTCCTGGACTTTGTATACCATAGAAGGCTGTAGTTACCATAAGATCTGTGACAAAATCCTAACTGTAAAAGAGGTGGTTTGTTACATAATATATATCTCTTAATTTATTTTTTTCTCTACTTTCTAGTCTTTTGGTCTCTAGATCCCAGTTTATAAACTGTAAAAAAGTTAATTAAGATATATACATAAGATATTAATTAAGATATATATACATATAAATGGGTTTAGGGCAGGTGTGATATTGGGCTTCATTCCAGAAATCACTTTTTTTCTTTCTTGTGTTGTCAAGTAATTACCTTGCAGAACAATCTAGGTTCTAGTGAGTTCCTTGTTCTCTAACAATCTGTAAACAGATGGTGCTGCATCTTTAAAGTAAGGATATTTACTATTTAATCCTCGTTAATTTAATTTGAGAAGTTTTAATACAAACGTGTATGTGTGTGTGTGTTTGTTTACATGTTTGAGACAGAAGTAGAAAATAGCTGTTTGTTTTCCCTTATTTATGTTTGTTTATATTTAGTACTGCTTAAATTGCACCTTTCTCAATATTGCATTATACAAACTAACACTTGCCAAAGATAAGTCACTACACAACCAATCTAGTTGATAGAACTAACTTTCATTGTTAATAGAGCCATTTACATTTAAGATATGTTTCAAAATTTGTAAGTAATTTGTTAAAAGTAACAAATACAAGTACAGGTGCTTGCTATATACTATAGAAGAGGCAAGCAGTAAATCTTAAAATTATTCCTCAACTTTCCCCAACCTTGTGGTAATTCAGAAGAAATAAAACAAAAAATAGATAAACTGGTTGAAAAATTAACCTTTACGTGTCATCACACAATAAGCATGTATACATACATGTATCCGTTACATTTTTGTTTGTATAATATTATGGCCACATTTGTGGCAAGCATAGGAGTTTGTGGCGGAGTCTTGCCTGGCCCTTGCTCCAGACAAATTGTAACATAGCATTGCGGAGAGAGGTGAAGTAAGCCATTGGTAGGGTTAGAGGGATTGTTTAGTAGAGGTAGAGGCAATACATTAATCTTGAGTATTGCAATCTTACCAAACCATGATATATGGGGTTATGACCACTTCAGATCGCGTTGTAGTCGGTGTAGAAGAGGGAGAAGGTTCATCTGATACGTGTCCCTCGGATCCTTAGTGAGAAATGTTCCCAAATATTGCATATGGGACGTTCACCATCAGAATGGAAATTGGTGTTTCAGTGTATCAGTATCCGCTGCTGGGACTGTGATGTTGAGCACTTCACACTTGGACATGTTCAATTTAAATTCTGAGATCTCCCCGTACAATCCGAACGGTACCACCAGGCATGGTAAGGTAGTCTCAGGGTCTTTTACAAAAAACAAGAGGTCAACTGCATATGCAGCTACCTTGTGCGTAGTGGCCTTCCAAGAAAAGCCCAGGATCCCATCCGATTTACGCACTGATTTACGCATGGTTCAAGGGTAAGCGCAAACAGCATAGGTGAGAGTGGGCATCCCTGCCTTGTACCATTTCGAATCATGAAGGAATCAATAAGTGCACCATTCACTCTCATTTTGGCTCTGGGGCAATTATAGAACGCACCTATCCATTTTGGCATATTCCCACCAAGGCCCAACTGCCGAAGCATAGCTATGAGGAATGACCAGTTCACCCAGTCAAATGGTTTCTCAGCATCTAATGATAAAAGGAGGAACTGGTCTTCCAATTGTTTTGTTAGGTGCTGGATGGACAGAGCTCAAAGAGTACTATCCTTAGCCTTTCTCCTGGGGATGAACCCCGTTTTATCCTGGTGAACAAGCCTTGGCAGCAGCATCCAATTCTATTGGACAGTATCTTGGTAAATAGCTTCACGTCCACGTTGAGTAGGGAGATCGGCCTATAACTGCTACAAAGTTACCCAGCTTCGGGTTGACAGTGATGGTGGCCGCAAGTGACTAAGTGAAATTGGACATCCGTTATGAGAGCGTTAAAAGCTTGGGTAAGTTTCGGAAACTTTTTATAGTAATCCAGGGTACGCGCCCCGTTTTAGAAGCTTTGATCTCCTCCCGTCGCAGTCTAGTAGCCATGAAAGTTTCAAGGTATCTTCGTATCTTATCACCTCTGTCCACCCATATCGGTTGTAGGATTTTAATATGGATGAGTAGAAGGAGCGAAATTCGGAGGCAATCTTGTCTGGGAATTGGGTAACCGTGCCATCAGTGATCCACAATTTATGAACCTGGGCAAGCACCTAGGGGCCCTTGAGCATCCTTGCCAACAACTCCCGTCTCTTGTTAGCATGTCGATAAAAGAAGGACTTCGAGCATTGTAGAGAACGGTGGTAATGGTTGGTCATATGTGTATGCAATTGCCTCCAGGAGTTCACTGTATGTCGCCACAAGTTGGGAGTGTTTGTGCTGTGCTTCGAGGGTCATTATCTTCTCCAAGAGTTCGACTGTCTGTTGTTGCGAGTGTCATGGTCTTCTGCAGGTCAGATAAGAGATTTATGCCGGGGTTGACTTGAGGTTCTTTATTTTGAATCTTTGACATATTTAGACATGGACAGGGTAACAATAAGAGTAACAGGATAAAAAGGGAAAAGGAACAATTAGGACAAAGGGAGAAAGCAGAACCTATAAACAAGATTACAGATATCAAAGTTAGAGGAAAACCTTTAAGATAAATTATAGGCTAGGAGGAAGAAGGATAACACATAAACAGGATTATAGGCTGAAAGAAGAAGAAGAACCTATAAATGCGATAACAGGTAAGTAAGAAAAAGTAGTTATAGAAATAGAAGTTTAGGCAATTTGCCATAAAAGCAGGTTAACAGGAAACAGGGAAACCTATAAGAGAAATTATAGGTACCAGGCAAACATAATATAAGGGGACAAAAATAAATAGAATATTATAAAGGCTCAAGGAATTCAAGTTACTTCTAAGTTTAGATGATCAGTCTCTTTTGTTTGGAGGTTGTACAGCAGTTACCAGTTAGATGGAACATGGTTATCCAGGAGAGTTGCAATTAATAGGAAAATGTGTAAAGTCCTGACAGGTTAGGTCCAAAGCAATAAACAATAATTAGGAAACAAAGTGCAGTCTGAAATAAAGCAGGTTGTTTGGATGAATCAAAGGTAGTCAGATTTAAGCAGGTTCTCATGTATCAGAATGAGCCAGGAACAGATGTCTTGTCTGTATGAGACTATAAACAATTAACAATGTAAAGGCCCTTAGGTTAGTAGGGTGTGGCCTCTAATAGCACAATTCAGATGATCATCTTAGGCAGGTGTGAAAGACTGAGCTTAGACTAGCGGTTAGGGAGGCCACTAGTGTTGGAAAACAGGAAATGGAGTGCATAGAATAGCAGAAAATAAATATGTTTGCTTGTCAGGATAGGATCCTGACATCGAATCTCTCTTTTGTTTTTGGATGTAAAGTGCGTCAGTGTGCCCCTGTCAACGCTCTTGTGAGCTTCCCAGACAGTGGTCACTGTCCAACTCCAGGGTTACTGGGCAATGGTCTGACCAAAGGGCAGCCCCTATCTTCACTTTTTGTACTGATGCCAGCTGTTCTTGTTGTAGGAATATATAGTCGATTCTTGAGTATCGCCTGTGGACCACAGAGTAGTGTGATTCTTTATCTCCAGGGTGCATAGATCTCCAACAATCCACCAGCCTGAGATTCTGGAGGGATTTCTGCATGCTCCTAAGAGCTCCTTGTGCGTTGCTGCTATGACCCGTGGATTGGTCTACAAGAGGATGTAGGGGCACATTGAAATCTCCTCCCAGGATCAATGTCCCTTCCGTGAATGATGAAAGCTTAAAGAGGATCTTGCAAATGTATTGGGATTGGTTATAATTTGGTAAGTATATCGTTGCGAATGTGTATCTACGATCCTGGATATCTCCTTTTCAAGAAGAGATACCTGCCATTCTTGTCTGGCACTTTCCATTTCGTGGAATTGCAGCTTTGCCTCAAGAAGTATAGCCACTCTGACTTTGCAAGCTGTAGGATGATTGCTGCAGATTGCGTTGGGGTAGTGCTTGCTTTTCAACAGAGGAGCTGATCCTTCTTTAAAGTGTGTCTCCTGCAAAAAAGCCATGGAGATGCGATGCTTGAACAGGTCTTGCAGAAGCTGTGTCCTGCGTTCCGGAATATTTAAGCCTCGGCAGTTCATAGTTAGGACACAGTATGGGTCCGGTACATAAGCCATGTTGAAATCTGAGTGGTGGCACGCGGCAACTGTCAACGTTGCTACAACCCATGCGGCAGCAGTCTACAGCAAGTAAGCAAGGAACCCCCGCCAGGAAGGCTCCAACCACCTTCCAACCAGTATGAAAACAACTGAAGGAATGGACCCGCTGACCAGTAGCATCCCCATGGCAGATAGGTCCAACCCCCCTAACTTAAACTCTGTGGAGTAAAGGAACTTAACAACTTTTACAAAATGTTTTTAAATCATATTAGTTTGCACCCTCCCTTTATCCCTTCCACCCCAATCCCTGCTCATGAATAGTAGGAGTATGTTCAAAGCAGAATATTCCCCCTCCTTTCTCATAACCCTCTCCCCTCCCTAACCCCAACCAAGGGGATTCCACCCACCCCCCTAACCTCCCCAGCTCAACAACTGCTATAAAAACTATCCCCCATATCAGCAAGCATGAGAAGCATAGACATCCCTTCAGTCCCACGTACACCTGCATGAGATCGCCCCCTCTCCCTCTTGTGACAGACCCTCCATCAATCGATGCTCCTAGTGCTTACCAAGGACCATCAGCACCGCACCAGACACCATAAGCACTGCAGATCCCATGAACCGCCGCAGCTTGGCTGGGAATTTGCCGTCCTCTACCCACCCTGGACCTACGACAAGACTCCAGGTTCCAGTGGGTGAGCCTCTTCTCCAAGAGAGAGTAGCAGGAACAAGCTCTTAAAAGAGCTTAGTGATTTATATCCCAGGGGAGTATACAGAGTATAGCAATCTCCCAGTGTAGATGCAGCCTTTTCTCCCACACATGAAACAAGGCTCTATGTTGAGGGTAAAACAGGAACTCAGCAGATCTGAGGGTTTATTGTCTTTTATACAGTTTTCCCCTCAAGGTTACCACCCAGGTGAACCTTGTGGAGCACAGGACAGAAAGTCACAAAGCCAATCAGAACAGTATTGTACAGTTAGACACTCCAAGATAATGTACACAAACCCTTCCCTCTGCCTGTGATACAATTAACAAAGACAATGGACTAACTCAATAACTCTAAGCAGAAAAAAACAAACATTTTTACAAACCCCAAAAAGTACCCCAAAATACAACACATCCCCTGATAGCCCCGATCTGGGTGAACAACATATCCCAAAATCACCCAGATTGGTTCAGGGGTTCAGGAATTTCCTGGAAGTTTTATTTTTGCCCCACTGTGCACATGGACCCATGCCCAAAACCTTTCCATACACTCGACGACAAAACACTGCTTGAAAATTTAAGATGGCCACCACCACATGTTTGAAAGGGTTATTGTGCTTGTGACAGACCTCTCTGTCTTTGGATTACTGTGATTTAACCTTGGTTCATCTGTTTGTTCGGTAATTGCCACTTGTCCATACGGCTCTACGTTTCATTTCCCTTTTTATACGAAAGAACTACCGAATGGCAGGCCACCCAGCAGGGAAGTGTGCTGTTTGTTAACCTTTCTGCCCTCATTAAAGTTGTGGTTAACCGCAGACACTTCCAACTCCCGAATGGTCGGCTGGGTGGACGTTGTTCCTTTGAACGAACATGTGGTGGCGGCCATCTTGGATAGTTGAACACCCAGCGGTGTTCATCGACAAACCTGTGGAACTAAAATCGGATACTATTTCATACGAACACCGCTGAAGTAGCTGACCAGTCCTCGTTCTGTTCCCGTTCATACGAATGCCATGCTGTTTGGTACATTGACTATATACGAACAGAGCTGCCCGGATAGCCATCCCATGGAGCCCATTCGTTTCAACGAACACACTTTGTACAAGACTTTAGCTCCATGGCGATTGAACTGTGTGTATGGGATCTGAGCGCTATTCGTGATATAGTGAGCTCAGATCTAAGCTATCTGGGGATTCTGTTCGGTAGGGATTCTGTTCGGTAGTTTGGGAATTATATATTTTTATTGTATTTTACTGTTCCTGTAAAATGGAGGTTATGCTCTATCCCTGGAGGTAATTGAGTTACTTCTAGCACTTAACCCAGGATAGAGAGGAGGGTTTGTAATGTTCATGTGGGAGTGTTTATCCATGTATCTGTGTTTAATTGGTTAATGCATAAACTTGTCTCAGTCTTCAACAAGGTCCCTATGGGAGTGTCCCTTGCTGGAAGACCTGCATAAAAGATGCCCTGTGCGGAACATCTTCGCAGCACCCCCCCGGCTTCCCTTTGACTATCCGATCTCTGTATTCCTTGACTTTTGGCTTGGCTCCTGACTATTCTGAATTCTCCATTCCTTGACTCGTGGCTTGTTCATTGTTTCCGTTATTTTTATGTCTCGTCTTTATCCTGTCTTGTGTTTTTTTTTCCTTTATACGTAAAATCTGGGCCCAGTAATACGTCTTAGGAATTTTCTTCATATCTACTTAAATTCTGTGTGTTGGGCATCAGCTACTCCTGTACGGATACATGTTGATAACTAATAAATTACAAAACATGATCAGTAGATACAGTATATCTGAACATGTATATGATTTATGTAAGAAATCCACCAGATCGTATGGTGGTGTGGTGACAAAAGAAGGTTACTTTTGACATAAACAACTCTTACAAGTAGTATAGTAAAACATATCAAACTTAACAAAACAAAGAATAAAAGTATACCACATTACTTTACCATTAAGGAGTATATCGAGGGATGAAAGTGTGAAATCGAGTGTTTGGTCGATGAGATATTTCAGACCCTAGATGTTGTCTTCGAGTGTATTGAGCAATTTTGTGTTTGAGAAAAGTGGATAAATAGGTTATCTGAGCATCATAATTCTCTATTTTAATGTGTGTCATACATTGCTTCACATGCCTTCCAAGTGGTTTGGAATTGTTGTGTGGCTTTGCTCGTGGTTAAGGACATACGTTCAAAAACATAAAATTGTTGTATCTTGTCTCGTAGTTTGGATAGGGATGGACATATGGTGGATGTCCAATTTAAGGTGCCGCTAGAAGGATGATGGCTATCAGTTGCCTTTGCTCCTTGGCTAACAAGGAGGGGAAGAGCAATAGAAGATAAGTCGTAGCCATTTTAGGGAGGGTGGAAGTTCCTAGAGTACTTACAGTTTTATGGACAGCCACCCAAAGAAGTTGGATCTTCAGGCAAGTCCACCAAACGTGCAGGAGTGAGCCCTCCTCTGAAGAACATCTCCAACATTCTGGAGATATAGCAGGATAGATTTTGTGTAACTTCTGGGAGGTCATATACCACTTATATAGCAGCTTTCTGTTTGCTTCAATATGTGTATTGCACTTTGCCCACTTTGAAAGGTCATTGAGTGCCTTTAGCCAGTCTGTGTCAGAGATTGAAAGGGAATAATCGGTTTCCCATTGCATTTTGCAATGTAGGAGATTGCAATTATGTGTTTTGCCATGCCCTATAACAGAGAAAAATAGCTTTTGTTTTAGAGGGAGCTAGCCAACATCGCTCAATAAGTTGTTGTGGCAATCGGGGCATTGGGCAGATTGTGGGTATGCTACCTGAGAGCGGATGATACCCTTCCATTTCATCTTTAGATCTGGAAATTATTGTAGCTCTTGATTATCAAAGAGTTTTGAGATTTGGAAAACTCCTGCCGTAAGCCAGCTCTTGACTGGGATGTCGGGTGAAACCGACCTAAGGGTCGTCAGTGGGGCCTTGATATGGAAGTTTGTTTTGCAACCCAAGGTGTTAAAGAATGTATCCCAATATTTTAAAGTTAGTTGTGTGGTCGGTAATAAGTTGATATTAGTTTTCCTGAGGGGTTTTGTAGTCCATAGGTAGTCAAGTAGTGTGTGGTCATGGAATTGTGTTTCCCAACAGGGGAGTGTAATAGGATTCCAGCAGTTAATGCGGTAGATTTATAGTACTGCCAAATATTGGGAAGGCCTACCCTACCCTGTTTTGGAATTTTTGGCAGTAAGGTTTTTGGGTAAACATGGTCTTTCCCCCTAACCTCCCCTTCCCCCCCCCTCACCACTCACCCCCAAATAAATGAGGCACAGGCTGCTTGTAAAGTGTTGAACAATGATTGTGGGATTTTTATAGGGAGCATTATAAATACATTGAGTATGCATGACGGAATCATAATTTTGTAGGCATTTTTCCCCCAAGCCAGAACAGTGTTGTATGTTTCCATTTGTTAATCTTGGCTTTGCAGAGTGTCGGTAAAGGGGTGTAGTTCAGTTTCACTACATCTGAGATAGAATGGGCAATTTTTACTCCTAGGTAGGTCATTGATGATGTTCTCCAGTCAAAAGAAAACATTTTGCATAACTTATCTGTCTTATTAAATGGTAAATGGATAGGGATGGGCAGAGAAATAAGTAACAATTAAAACTAGGCCCCTTTGATTTTCCCTATATGAGAAAGTCAAGGAGTGTCAATAAGAACATTATATATGAGGGGAAAAAATGAATGAATGTATCTCTTCAATAAATGAGTGCTACGTTTATAAAAAAAACGGAAACATAAGTTAATACTCTATACTTGTATAATGGTATACAGATGATTTTCTCATATAGGGATAACACTGATTTACTAGCCTAGTTTTAATTCTCACTTATTTCTCTGCCCACCATTTTCCATTATTCAAAATGGCGTCCAAGGATTTTAATCCAAACACTGCCTGTTCTAGCAGCCAAAGACTTTGATTTGCGCAATGATTAACTAATCTCTTACAATCGAAGAGGACTACCACCTGGGATCAGCAACATTGCACTTTATATCAACCTGAGATTTTATATATGTATGTGTGTATATATATGTATGTGTGTATATATAAAATATATAGGGACTTTTGCACTCCTACCTCCAGCCACTGATACCGGGTGCGCAGCCACACTGTGATACAGGAAACAAACGATTGCCAGCACTCCGGGATTTCCAATATCAAAGTACTTTATTGTCAAGTCAACGTTTCAGTCCCTAATCCGGGACTTTCATCAGGACATACAAAGTAACATCTTACATGCAACAGGCTTATATACAAACTAAAAACATAAG